ATATATATATATATATATTTTTTTTTTTTTTTTTTTTTGGGCAGAATCTCACTACATAACCCTCAATAGAGTGCTGTGGTGTCACAGCAACCTCAAACTCTTGAGCTTAAGTGATTTTCTTGACTCAGCCTCCCAAGTACCTGGTACTACAGGTGCCCACCACAACGCCCAGCCATTTTTTGGTTATAGTTGTTTGGCAGGCCCTGGCTGGGTTCAAACCCGCCAGCTCCGGTGTATGTGGCTGGCGCCCTAGCCACTGAGCTACAGACACCGATTCCCACTAGTTTTTGGTTGCAACTGTCATTGTTGTTCAGCAGGCCCAGGCTGGGCTTGAACCTGCCAGCTTCGGTGTATGTGGCCGACGCCCTACTCACTGAGCTATGGGCACTGAGCTAGGACAGAGCAATGTGGCTGCTTGGGGTGTGCATGCCAGATGGAAGAGGTGGCTCAGAGTAAAACCATTTGTTCTCTCTAGGAATGGGCTGGTGCTAGGAGGGGTGGTCTCTCACCAGTCAGTGAGACTGTAGATACCAGAGCATCAAGAATATAGAAATAGGAAAATACAGATAAGCTACCTCCCCAGCCCACCCTTTGCCCAGTCAATGTCTGCTCTTTGATCAGCTGTCAGCTTTACATGGCTTCTCAGGGAAGCCTTTACTCACTTTCTACCTGGGGCCAAATCTCCTGTTAAGGACAGTCACAGCTCTATATCCTGCTCTTTGTAACCTTCACCTTGGTTATAATTTTCTATTTGTTTGTAATTTTTTGCTTGCTTATTTACGGCCAGCTCTCTCTTCTGATAAACTATATACCTTACCAGGCTTGGAGGATTTGCCTGGTTTTGCTTGCCACTGTATTGCCAATGCCTCTGGAGTCCTGGCACATGATGTGAAGGTGGGGTTTGCTGTCATGCTGGAGCCAGGGTGGATGGGTGAGCTGTTGCACTGTGGCATGAGATCAGCAGAGTCCAGGTCAGGGAAGCCCTAGGCAGTGTTGCTGATTTTGGACTTTTCCACAAGGAAATGGGAATCTTTTCATGTGTTTTAAACAGATGATCGTTGTAGTCCAATTCTTATAAAAAGAGGAAACTAAGTTTGAGACTGGAGGCAGGAATGATAAGTTAGGACATTGTTGTAAGGTTTAGACAAGAGAGGATAAGGGACAGAACAAGAAATGCTGAGGAGGAAGAACAGACTGGCGTTGGTGATGGTCTAGATAGGCGGGAGGAATGTGGGCCAGCCTCTGGATCCCTGCAGGGGTGGTCTGTGCAGGAGGGAATACAGGAGACGGTGCAGGTGTGCATAAAGTAAGTGCTGGATGGACATGATAAGTTCAGCATAGCTGTGAGATACTCAGTATGTCCTCTCATAGGCAGTTGGGGAAATGAATTTGGAGCGTAGGGGAAAGCTTGGGTTAGCAGGTGTGTGGAGCATTAACATGCAATTACTTTATAACCCAATTCAATGGATTTTACTCTGGCCACCCTTTCGTTGACTTAATGGTACACCGTACTCAAGCCTGGGATATCAAAAGAGAACACATTCTTCACTTGTTGCATCAGTGATGAATCATAGTTTACAGATACCACATACACAAATATACTTTATTATTCTTTGAAGTATTTATTATATATTTTCTATGTGCCATACTTTCATTGTAACTGCTTTTTGTACATTATCTCTGTGACAGCCCTATGAACTGGTTACTCTCCAGTTTTGTGAATGGGGAATAGGAGATTAAGTGACAGCCCTGAGGTGCGGCCAACAGTAAGTGTCAGAGCTGGATGTGAGCCAAGCCTGCCTCACTCCATGCCCTTGGTCTTCTCAACCAGCCTGGGCTGCCTCCGAGTGCCTGGAGAGGCCCATGGTTTATTTTGCCTTGAATGCAATTATTCTTTCTCTTTCTTTGACATATAAAAGACTTCTTTTTAAAAAGTCTGGAAGTATGTATACCAAAACATTAATAGTGATTATCTCTGCATGGTGAAATTATGAATGATTTTTGTTTTCTTTTGCATACTTTGTATTTCCTGAATTTTATGAAATGAGCATGTATTACTTGTCATAACCAGAAACATAATGGCATTCTTTCTAAAAACAGCAATGATTTTTTTTCCTATCCACAGTACTGTAGGTGGGCACTTAATGCAATTTAACCATTGCTTTCCACCCTCCTCCATCACATTAATGGAAATCCTTAAAAGCAACATTATTGATGCTTATTTTGCTTACACGTGGTCTTAACCAAAAGGACAAGAAGTGATAATTTTGCTTAAAGCTCACAGAGCCTGTCTGCCCCAGTAGGAGGATGGTGTTAGGGCATCCTGGCTGTAGTGAGAGTGAGTTTCCTTTTTTCTTCCATTCTCCATGTTGTACAGTTTACCTACTGATATGCAAATACATGCACCTCAGTACAGAATTCTTAACACCCTTGGGTAACTAGAAAAGGGGAAAGTATGTTGAAAATCCCTGGAATAGATCCAGTAGAGTAAAAGAGCTACCTGATGGCATTTTGCCTTCCTTAAATTATTTGGAAATACTGCTTGCACATTGTAAGTTAAAAATGAGGGGAAAATAGAACAAATCCCCTTCTCATTCTACTTGAAATATGTAAAGTTTCTGTTAAAGAGTGTGTGTGCACACTCTCGTTCTCCATGGGTTAGGGAAACAGGTTCCATGGAAGTGTTTGGTCTCTGGGTGTTATTGTAGAGCCCTGGTTGTATGACTTTGAGAGTTTGTAGAGACAGGTCAAATCCCCCAAAATAAACTCTTTAAAAAGGTAGGAAAGAAGGCCACTGGTGGTTGGTCTGGATGTTTGAGGATAACAGAAAAACAAAGGACAATTATAAATCATTTATCTTATTAAGTGGGCTCAGTATAGGATTGTTTGAGGCAGGACCCTTTTCTCTGAGATGTCCTCCTTCCCCAAGACCTTACATATAAAATTCTGTTTTAATTAAGTCAGTGAGGGTTGTTTTTACTCAAAGACATACTGAGTTTGGAAAAAGAGCAGATTCACTCTCTCTCCATCAAGTTTTGTGTCGTCTAATCATGGATCTCAGTTGATGCCTTTATCTTATCTTTAATAGGAAAAAAGACATCTCTAAAATGTGGTAAGGATAAAAAATCAGTTACCTTCGTTAGTAAAATGTTTCTGAAACATTACAGAGTAACATTTCAGGTACCAAATACCCTTTTTGCTTCCTTTATTGAGACGTCTTTTAAGTACATAGGCTTTAAAAGGAATAAAATGAGGAAAAATTAGGAATTGTCGAGTAGCAGCTCTCTCTCCACCCAAAGGTGCCTTTTTTTCATTAACAGTCCCTTTTCTCCCACACCTGTCATGAAAACCTTAAGTGAGTCAACCTGAATTTCTTGCCTGCTCTTTTGTAGACAGATTTCTAAGAGATCTCTTTTCATTTTTATCTTTTGGCACCCAGGAATTAAATAGCTTTAATTACTTGGATCTGTACAGACTTGCTGACCTGTTTAACCTCACTTTGTTGGAGAAAGCAGTGATCGATTTCCTAGTGAAACATCTCTCGGAGCTCCTGAAGAGCCGCCCTGAAGACGTCCTCACGCTACCTTACTGCCTGCTGCAGGAGGTCCTGAAGAGCGACCGCCTGACTTCCCTGAGCGAGGAGCAGATCTGGCAGGTAAGGGGCTCGCCACCATCCTTGCTGGACACAGAGAGTACACAGCATGAGTAGAAGGTAAAGGGTTGAGGGATACTGACCACTGTTTTATCTGGTTTGGTTTTCATGGGGTTGGAATTTGAAAGTCATGCTCCCTTGATGGGCCAGTGATAGAGAAGGCTTCGAGGCCTCCACCGACTGCACCTTAACTCAGGGAGTCACAGGTGAGATTCCTGCATGAGACCGTCCCTGTGGCTTCACAAAACCAACACAGTCACATCTTTTGGCTCTTTTTGGAAGAGCCAAAAAAAAAATGTTTTTTCCCTGAAAATAGTTGTTTCTTTAATTGAATATGAAAAAAATGGATTGTCAAGTGAGGTATGCACATTCAAGACCAGTGGAATCAGAATAAATTTTGGGCCTTCCTGTAAACAACTCAGAAAACATTTCTTTGTTGCAACAGAGATCATCTTGAAGCTGGAAGGAAATGAAGTTCCTCTTGCCTGCAGGGGAGAAATCTCCCACCTAGTTCATTCCGCAACCCTCATCACTGTTTTCCCACTCTGCCTTTTCAGGTGACATAGCAGTCTTTCCACATTGTGTGAGTCCTTTGTCTAGGAGACAGGAGGCTGTTTTTTGTTTTGAAGTTGATTATTCAATTTAAGTCCTCTTCTGCTCATCCCCAGTGACTATCTTTAAATAATCTGCATGATGTTGGTGGGAAATAGAGTCCCTCTTCCCCTTCCCCTCACACTGTGGGTCTTTCTCACTCTGAAGCACAGACTCGCCATTGCTACTTCTAGGGCACTGTGCCCTCACGGTTTCCCAAACATTTGAAAAATAATTATATACAGACTGCAAGGGAAAATTTCAAGTCTTCTATTAGCTGATGAAACAGTGAATTCCTGGTCTCTTATCAGATGACATTTATAGAGTACTTTGATCCCGGCCCAAACAGAGTGATAGGTGGCTGTTAATATCCAGCATTTGACTCTACTGACTAATGACATTCCCCCTTTCCTCTTTATTTGTATTACATTAATCACTTCCCTCTTCCTATTGCTTCACACAGTGAGGATAATAGGAGCTGTGCTGTACTGAACGCTGCCTGGATCCCAGGCTCTTTGTAAAATTATTGACAGCAGGCCTGAAGAATGTTCAGTCTACAAGATGCACGCAAGGAAGTTTTAGTGCCTTGCTCAGAGTTACAGAACAGAACCAGCCTTCAACTTTTAAAGTTTGCGACACTTGCCCTTTTCTGGATTAATTTCTTTTCTTCACTATTCCACACTGTCTTGACTTCACTATTTTATACTGTTGTGACAAAGAAAATATAAAGACAAACACAAAAAAGTAAGTCATGCATTTGTGCTTCTTGGGTATTTCTAGTAATGTTTGTTCAGACAGAGCTTGAAAGTTTTGGTGAGGATGTGTTTTTGGTAGGAACTGAAATTATCTGCAGTTCTATTCCATAAATATAAATCAACAGAATTTACTTTGGTCAATTCAAAGTGGGAAACAGCAAAATTTTCTTTACTTCCCAGGGGGGAAAAAGAGAGACTTGGAGTGAGTCCTGCATTTTAAAGTTTTCTAACTGAATTGAGATCTGAGGCCAAGCCCCCTCATGGCGTCTGTCTCTTTCTGTGGCACAGTTGAAGGCGCTGCCAGAGATGGATGTGGTAATGTGCAGGTGTCTGAGTGTCAAGAACATTCCGTCCTGTTCATTAAGAGTAATCGTAATTGCCTCTCGAAAGGTTACTAATTTTATAATATAGAATTTTAAAAGCTAGTTTCTGCTACAGGCAATACTTTTTTTTTTAATACCTGGTTCTCAAGAAAGAATTAAAAAACTCCCACAAATATTATCAATTTAAGCATTCAGCAGGCAATACAAAACTGTTTTTGCTTTATATTAGTAAATAAGTGATTTCTTCATATTCAATCCAATAGAGAAAAATCAAATCAGACCAGCTATTTTGCCTCAAGTGTAGTTAAGTTCATCATTTTTGCTGAGGTTATGCTAGTAATGCAATATACCATGGAAGAATCTAATATTCAGCCCAGGGTGGAGATGGGTATGCCAGAGGATTAGTGTCAGGGTGCTTTATAGAACTGAAACTTGATGGACAGGCTGGAGACAGATCTACAGAATCTCATTAAATTGCTGAATTGTTCATTATAGAACGTTCTCACTGTAATAAAGTGCTCATTGACTTTGACAAATCCCCGTTCCATGTCTTAAAGAAGAACAGTGATGCAAAGGGCGTTGGGGAGGAGAAAGGAAATTGGCACACAGTGGGACAGGTAATAGAAAAGCAGGTGGAGTGTTGTGCTAGTTGATGAATATGTGCAATGGTAACTTATGGGAGAGCACGGTAAACACAGGTGGCTCTTCCGCCACCCAACAGTGATGTAATCTGGGACAATCTCTTTTTTTGGTGAAAGGCCTCATTTTCATTATTCACCAGAAGACTTGTCATAAGAACCTTCAGATTATCCTCACAGAACAACTCTCTTTTACTTTTTCCTGCTCTTAGCTAGTCCCTTTCCTTAACAGAATGTGCTGCAGCCCACAGTCACCATTCTGTGGACACATGGCCCTGTGAGACACCCTGAGACTGTTACGCCTGACATATGCTCCTTTCCTTCCATTTCACCTTCTAAAACTCTGTTCTAAGTCTTTCTTCTCACAGAGGGCTTCTTGATCCATCCCGGACAATTCATTTCTCCCTTCCATAGTGTGAAACTACTTAGTCTGTTGGCTAACTTCACTCTGTATTCAGAGGCAATGCAGAGTCCCTAAAAATATTCTTTTTTAAAAATTTAGCTTAATGATTTGCTTTGTTTTTGTTTTTCGGTTGCAATTGTCACTGTTGTTTAGCAGGCCCTGGCCGGGCTCGAACCCACCAGCCTTGGCTGGCACCCTATTCACTGAGCTACAGGCACTGAGCTGATTTGCTTTGTTTTAAGGCCAGCAACTTGTCAGATTCTGGATGAAAGATACCACGTTGGTATCTTCAGAGAAAGAAGAGACTAAAAATGAGTAAATCAGCAGAAGAGGAAATAAGGGGCACAGGTCACTCACAGTCGTGATCTGGCAGATCTCAGCCTGTTCGATTGTGCTTTTGCGTTTTAGCTCTCACTGCATTTCAGTAGGGCCCTGTTAAATATCTTCAGTTAGATTCAGCATATGGTTCAGACTCCTGAGCCCTGGGAAGAAGGAGGAGCTCCACCCTGAGGAGTTCCATGGGGAGTGGGAGAGTGGAAGAAATGGGGAGATGTTTGTCAAAGAGTGCAGAACTTTCAGTTACAAGATGAGCAGTTTCTGGGGAGCTGATATACAGCATGGCTGGCAGTGGATGTGTTAATTCATCTGTGCTAATCATTGCACAGTGTGTATTATATCAAATCATCACCTAGAACACCTTGAGTATATACAGTCCTCGTTTGTCCATTACATACTGTTAAGTAAATAAATAAGCTAAAACATGGCAAGTCTTCATTAATAACAAAACAAAACCTAGAACCAGATAATGACACAATGCCATCCCACTCCCATGCATTGGATCTGTTTTCATTTTCCAAGGACATCCTGGGAAATAACAGTTTCATTTTCGGGAATGAATTATGCTCTCGGCCTCTTTGGGCTCAGGTTCCCTTTCACCAGAGACAGGGAAATGACTGGATTCCATGGGAGTACAGGTCCTAGGAAGAGCCTGAATGCAATGTGAATTCTTAGACACACCAGCACAGGGTGTGTCTCCACCCATATCATGCTCACTGAACACGAGTAAACACCCAAAACCATGCTGGAGCGGAAGACAGAGGGTGGGGCTACCAACGCCCTTTCCCCCTCCCATGTCTCACCCTAAATGGGAAGGAGCCTTTGGATTTTTTTTTTTTTTTGAGACGGAGCCTCAAGCTATCCCCCTGGGTAGAGTGCCATGGCATCACACTCACAGCAACCTCCAACTCCTGGGCTCAA